TTCCTGGCTGTAGATTTGAGTGGTGTCCTCATTTCCGAAGGAATTGAGATGACCGCCCATATTTAGGATAGTATTGTCAATATCCATCATAGTACCATCAGCCGATGTTTTTGGTTCTGTATGGTCTACTAGTGAACTAGGTCTGCCGATTGGGCTAATCACACCGTTGGCTGTAGCTTGGGGTGTAGGGTCCGAATCCATCTTTTGTGGTGGTTGTGTTCTCTTGTTTTTTCTATCGACTTGTTGTTGTTTTGTTAAGTCCTTGTTAATTATAACCCTTTTAAAGTGTTGTGGGGCCAGGGTTTTGATGTTTTTTGCCACCTCTAGCAGGATTTTTTTCTACTTTTTGTTGTTAAGCACTACTTTAATGGGTCTGCACTTTTCCTTTGAAAACTTTCCCAGGCGGAAGTGGACTGTGATGTCGACGTCGAGTAATCCGATGCTGGTACAAAGGCTTTGAATTTCTGTTTTTCATCTTTAACATTGTTTGCCTTTCTATCGCTATCAGTTCCCTCTGGTACATTGAAAATCACAATATTAGTGTCTCTCTTCCGTCTGTCCTCTAATTCGCCACATCTTTCATCCACCATTTTGTTGACCTCTTTTTTGATGTTACCTAATATGTCAACTTTGGCTGACTCAATTTTGGTGTCCATTTCCTTATTAGTGTTGATTTGGAATTTTTCAAACTTTGTTTCCAGACAGCTCATCCTAGCGTCATTTACATCTTGTACTTTTTGGAGAGTACTATCATTTTTTTCCAGAGTGGGAACGGTGTTAGTGCAGCTGTTGCAGGTCCATCGAAGATTGTTGAATTTACCCTGGATGATGTAGTTGTACACAGCCTCGTCAGTTTTAGAACATCCCAAACAGTAAAAATATAGTATGTCTGTCTCAACCTCTTACTTAGGTTTGCGATTCTATCCTCATCGTTTGAGTTAGATGTACCGGTAAGTTGGAAACGGGTTTTAGGATTAGCTAAAGCCATGTTTACTTTGACTTGTCAAGGATTGACAGTAACTTAATTGGAAAGCAAGGCAATCCTAGCTATAACCCAGCTACTGACAGTCTTTAACAAGTCAACAGTGTTCATTTTGAAAGTCAGTTCCTCTTTCTAGTATTCTGAGTAGCCAATATTTAGCTACACGTTCTGATGGGTGTATTCCGTAACAGGTTGAAGTTGATGCTGTATCGAGTTGTCGAAAGTTGATTATGTTGTCGTTTTGTCGATCTCGATCTCTCTAAATCCTTGTCAAATCTCGGTGATATAAAGCCGGTCATGGAGTTGAACTCCCTTACTACACTGTTGTAAGATTGCACACGTGCATTGACTTTATGGTCATCCTTCTGTTCTATTTGTGCTTCCAGATGTGTGTAGTCACGAAGTCTGTTCTATGTGTGTATCCAGACGTGTGCAGTCACGAAGTCTGTTCCATTTTATCACCGAGATTGGTGGGGCTCAAGAAATCCAATATGTAGATTACAGGCTTCCACTGCTTGTTTGACATTAGTGAACTGTTCTCGTGTTTTCGATATTAACAAGTCAGTTTCGTGGTCCTCATACCGGGGGAATATTAACTTTCCTTGCTTAATGGTGATGTCGCATGTCCCGTGCCAAAATAAGACTAACCCTTCAGACCCGAGACTACCCCGTTGGAGACTGCTGTTAATGAAATCCACTCCTTCAGATCCCCGTCTTCCGCTTTTAAACAACCATTTAATACCACCATGGTCGACTCTAATGGTGCGGGAATTCTCCTTGAGATAGCGCCCTTTACTATCCGAGACGAGCAATAACTTTCTAGCAGGGCTAAATATAGTCTCCCCTTTCTTAGTAAGGTATTTCTCGAGTCTACGAGCTTCCTGAGAATTCATTTGGAAGTGTAGAGCTGAAAGTAAAAGTGTAAAAGAATCGGCCATTGTTGATGGACGGCGGGAAGCTCAAACACTGGGATGAGCAATCACTCAGTATTACGAAATCGTGGGCCTAGATTCACACAGAAACGGATCACACAGTTTACCTATATCGCGCTACATGTTTGAAACTTGTTTAAAGGATATAACGTTGTTTCATTAGTCTGGAATCGACGATTATATAGCTGAGTCCTTTTCTGTTTTGATGTGTGCATCCATTCGTATTGCGCGCGCAATCGGAAAGATCGATACAAACAATCGATATAGTTTCGTTTGTCCAATTTTCAAGAACAGTAAGGAGTTGAAGAGTTGTCAATCTGCCCGATATAAATCCATATTGTTTATTTCTAAAAAGTGAGATGAATTTCATATGATTTAATCAGGGTTGTGTAGTGGAGGGATACGCAACTTCCTCTTTGCCTTAGTAAATATGTTCCGAGTGAGGTTGGCTTATCTCCCTTGATCGGTGTTCTATGATACTAGCGCCCCCTAGCGGACAAGTTATGGCTTCATCAGAGCGTGGTTGAAGCGTGAAATTGGTGTGTAAACAAACCAATAATAATGAGTTTTTGTTTATCTTGTTGTTGTAAGTTGTTTATATTAGATCTGGTGGAAGTAATAGTGGTGTCACAGGACCCGATGTATTATTTATTGCCATATTTTTTCATTTTCTGTGACAGTGTTCAACGTCAAACGGATGTTGTTTTTTGAGATTCGAGATTTTGTTTTGCTAACCCAACAAAGTTGTGTTTCTAATTCCTCCTCAACGGAATGGTTTAAATTAGAATGAAGTATATCCAAGGAAAGCTTAACTAATTTAATTTTGTATGGGGGTAATCTTATGGCGGTGAGTTATTATTAATTTGTGTTATTTTTGTTTCAAAAAGAGCTAATGTTTGTATCACTTTGCGTCGGAAATTGCGTCATTTTCAGTGAAACCATGTTGTTATCTCGCTGTTTAGATCAAATTTTCTTCCAATCAATTCCACCATTTTTCAAACAACGGATATTAATAAAAAGATGAGTATTTTTTGTATTGTGTAGACCCGAGTTTATTTGTCCTCCGTCAGTATTTTTGTTTTTATTGGTCAGGAACTGCACGCTATGTTACGAACTTTTTTGTAAACATTTGAAAATTTTGGATGGAAAAAATCTCATTAGATCTACCACCCATTTTGTGTTTCAAATTTCTTCCAAAGTAAAACCATGTTGGCATCTCGCTGCTTAGAACAAATTTTCTTACAATAGGTCTATATTCCACCATTTTTCAAACGTGGGATATTAATAAATTAAAAAGATGAGTAATTTTTGCAGGTGTTATTTGTGGTATGTCAGTGTTTTTGATTTTATTGGTCTGGAAACTGACCACTACAGTACTAGAGTACTGTGGCGGTACCCAATCTGGGACACTTGTGGGAAAGGGTCTAATGAAAATGGCACGTAATACAAACAAGCAATTTTATTTTTGTAATTTTTATTTAATGATACTCTGAACTGTATGCCGACTTATTTGACTGCCGAATCTGCCCGATTACAGGGGTGTACAATTTAATATATTGAGTACTAGTCCACTACACATCCCTGTCAAAATCGTCGTCTGAAATGTCCGATTCACTATATTCTGTAAACTCTCCAAGCAAGTGTTCTAAATCTATGTCGTCATCCCAAGACAGAAACTCAGACGTTGACAAGATGTGTGATTCATGATGAGACAATTTTAAAAGCGCTGAAGTATCCGATCGTGAAATGCTATGAACCGATTCCCTCGAGAGTCCAAACCAAAATATAGCACAAACTCAAGATACAGACAATAATATCTCCCAACTACTGTAGAACTAGACATGGTGGCAACGATTACATTTCTCCTTTGAAGACCTACTTATACACAGCCCAGTAAACTTGGATAACCGCAATGAAAACACTTCGATCAGCGATGTGTTGACCTGACACCGGAAGCAAGTGCGAGTATAACCTGACACTAGCGCGCAAGCGCAGACCGGCCAGAGTAAGCCCCTCGATGACTTCACGGTCCAGTGAACAGACACAAAAGCGACGATAAGTGTTCGCCACTGGACTCGGAGTTGCAAATCCCTCCACTACACTAATAAAGTGATTTCTTACGAGTGTCTCCATTGTTTTACACACACTTGAAGTGAGACTGACGGGCCTGTACTTGTAGATGCCTCGATGTTGTAGTCTGTGTGAATCCTTTGGATATGAACTTAGTGACACTGTTATCTTTAATATTGACAGACATAAGCATTTGTAACAAAAATAAACATATCTATAAACAGAAATATAGGTTAACCGTCAGTTCTCAAAATGCAGTTAAATTACCAGTTTTAATACACATTCCTTAATACAATACATGTAATTTTGTGTGTTTTGTTTTGTACTTGTTACTGTTTTAATTATGATTGGTGAGTGGAATGCTCGAGCGGGTCCTAATAATGATCAAATAATGGAGCCCTTGTTATATGATCATTGGGGGTGGCATTTTACCGAAAAACGATCTTAATCCCCCCAAACGTGTAAAATTACTCTGAGCACCTTAGTTTAGGTCCAAATATAGCTGTAACAGTTAACAAATTCTCGGGTGCCTGTGACCATGAGGTAAGACCATGAGGTAATATCAGTTTACAAATCATGGTTAAAACCCGTTTTTATAAACGTGTGCAATCCGGATACTGTTCAACTAGACTGATGAAATTCGGTGAAACACAATTAGAAAATTTGTGTATGCTAAATATAAACTATTGTGTCATTATGAAAATGAAATATTCCCATTTCTATAAAAAGTATAGGACTATTTTGGGGCCACACTAAAGATATGTTTTCCAACTTAAATTGACAAGTTGACTTTATTGCATTTTAAATAGGTTTTAAAAGGCGTTAAAAAACAAGTATTATCTGAAATTGCTGTAAATGTAACAACCTAAGGATTTCCAAATTGAAGACCTTTCTAACATAGTATGCTTTGAATTAATTTGTTCCCTTATTGATTATTTTTCGATCGTTTATATATTTTGTGGTTCAGGTCAATTCCGGTAAATTCAGGTCGTTAGTATTTTCCCGGATGTACGTCACAATATGCGAACCAGAAGTACGGCAGTGGTCGTGATGGACGTGAAGGGGTATTTCCCATTGGTAATTTTGATAAAGTGATTATTGTATTTGAAACAGTATTTTACAACATCTACAATAATGGACGAATTTATTGTGGGCCATGGTCGGGTACCTCGACTTCGCGAATTTCAGAAGAAAATTGAAAGAATGTATGAAGTGAAAATAGGATTCGAAGATGTCGCCAAAGCTCATCAACAATGGGTCATCGTTCAGGGCGAAAATATGGACAGACAGAATGCAAAGGTTACTACGTTACTGTGTTGAGATTAATGAGTAAATGATGAGAATAGTCATTGCAATTGATTAGCAACAGCCTTCCTTTTGAATATATTACTTATCCTGCATTTTATTGGTGACCTGAATACATTCGGTTCCGGTCGTTGTAATGTTTTGAATTTCATTTAACAGGTTTGGCACGCATATATATATGTCTGCATTTTGGTAACAGTTACCGTTTAAAGTAACACTTTTATTTCTGAAATTTGGGAATATAATGAAATGAAAACACATTAAAATCATGTAAACAGGACCAAAAATGGGTGTCATTCTTTCAACATAATACAGTAAATAATACAACGAAGTATTTGTATTTTTTTGTGTTTTTTTTTTGTGTATAAAGTTTTGTTAAAATGACAAATCATATCACTGACTTTGTTTTCCATTGACTTAAATGTGTAGTATTCAATGGGATCATCCAGTGCAAATTCGACTGGTGAATATGATTGTTTCTGTGTGCTATTTAATTTTATAGCAACACTGTAAGCAATGTACTAGACTCGTCTGTTAACATTAATACACCCATATTATAAACAAGGTTGCTATCTGATAATCTCTGTCCCCCTAGTAAAATGGCCTGGCTCCAGAAAAGATGTGATTTTGTCATAACCGTTCATAATATCATGTCGGGAGCAGTCTAGATCGACAGAAAAACTAATTTTCTTTAATTTGTTGTATGATTTACTACATAATTTTCAGTAAGACTTTGTGAAACATGGAAAAATGGTCAAATATATAAAGTTGGTTGGACACTGTGCTGTCCCTGGGATGACACACTAAATCCCTAGTGGGTATCACTGAACAAATGGTATATGTATATAATGCTATTCAATGCCTTGGAAACAATTTTATTTGTATGGTAGTTAAAAATTCATGGCCTTTCACTATCAAGTCAGAGACCATGCAATATCAGCAAAAAATGTTGGAACATACATGTGTATATGTGTTTGTACTTGCTGATGCCACAGTTAGGACTGTTTTAATCAATACATTTTTTAAACACGATATTTTCTTTTTCAGGAATACATCATTGCTCTGTGCGATCCAATGGAAACACAAACCCTTAATTATAAAGGTTGTCAGGCATTTCTTGGCATTAAAACGATTGAACAGATAGAGAAACAAACTAATGCTGTGATTATTGTGGATGAACTATCGTCTGTTACCATCACCGGCACTGACTTAGGTGTGACCTTGGCCATGTCATCTCTAGAGGAACTGCTGGGCCAGTATGATACAGAGATGGATGGCACTAAAAGTGAAACAAAAGAAAAAGACATTCTAGCAGATGATTCTGTGTCACCATGGTCACTGAGACTGGACACATCCCTACAAAGAGCACTTTCTCAACAGAGTGATGGCAACAGTAGTATGACTATTGAAGACTATGGTAACACCTCCGCAACAGTTAAAAGGGTTATTTTACATTGCTTAAATGACACTGCTACTGATGATATTGATGATGATCAATTGTTTGTAAGTAACTCTCCAAACAATAGTTTAAAAACACCAAATCAGTTTAAACTTCCTCTTTTGATGGGAGATGAACAGACAGACGGTGGACAACACAGAAAACAGAATACTGAAACAGATTCTTATCCGATTGATGGACGCGTTGGCAACCTTACTCAGCAATTGACTGATGCAAATATTTCACATGCTGAAGCCAAATGTGCTCCAAAACCTCAAAGTGCTTTCCCAAACTCAAAGTTGTCAAAGGAACTTGAATATTTAAAAAGCTTTGGGGTATCTGTTGGTTATAGTGTAGATATTATTGAAGAAGGTTTGAAATTTGCTGATGAAAATACACAAGTTTCAGACTTCATAGAAATATTAACAAAAATTTCTGATAGTAAATCTGAAGAGACTGCTAATAAAGGGAAAAGGAGTCCATCTCCAGATGTGGAAGTATTGAGTTCGTCTAAGAATTTTGGAAATTTTCCTCCTCCTCCACCTATACCTAGTCCAAGTAAGCTTGCAGATATGACAGGTCGACGAAGTTTGCCACCAGAATATAAAACAAAATTAATCAAAGATTTCACAGAAGAGAAAAATGACTTGCCCATTGAGGAACTCAAAAGACGGAACGAGGAAAGACAATCAGTGCTGAAAGCATCATTTGATGATGAAAATAATACGAACATAAACAGAAATCTGTCCTCACCAGGACAAAGTAGAGAAAAGAATGGTCATCATCACTCCACTAAACAGAAAGGTCAAGGTCGCTCACAAAATAAAAAGAATAAACAAAAGGCGAGACATCCAGGTTCAGAGACACCGACACATTATATTGAGTTGGATGGGGATGAAGAAACTTGTGTTATGGAACCATGGCAGGATGATGTTGATGACGATTGTAGAATTGTAGATGTTTCTCAACCTATTCCTAAGCCAGTTGTGGTCCAGCCAGATAGACAGCAGCAACAACAACAACAACAACATCAGCAGCAACAACAACATCAGCAGCAACAACAACATCAGCAGCATACAAATTATAACCGACAACCATACGGAAACAACTTTCAACAGCCATTTGGTGCTATGTCATCACCTCAGAAGCAACAGGCAGCAACAGGTCATCACCATCAGTTACAAAAAGGGCCAATCAGGGGAAAATCAGATGACCTTAGATATATTGTCATCGATGGCAGCAATGTGGCAATGACGTAAGCAAAGAGTTTTTGTGGGAAATATATATCATATTGCATTGAAACTTCACATCAAATTTAAATGTTTTGGTTTCAAATTATTAACATCAAAAGTCAATCACATGGATAGTAAAAGTTGGAAAACTTTGTTCATGTGCCTTATCTGAAAAGATATTGTCATGAAACTTACATAAATTATAGAATGCCAAAGTTTTGCTATCAGGAATATCAGGTCATAGTAATGCAATTTGTGTATGGTGACTTTCATTTAAAGGTTGTATTTAGGAAAAAGGTCTTCTTCAGCTCATGTTTATTGCTAAATTATTTTTGTTTTACCCTTCTAAAGTTCTATTTTACATGATATTTTGTTAGCCTGCACCTTAGGCTTCTAGAACACTAGAATCAATTCTAATTTCCACTGAATTGTTAACTTTAAAAGGTGTTTTTTTCAGGCATGGTAATGGCAAAATATTTTCTTGTCGTGGAATTAAAATATGCATTGAGCACTTCCTAAAGAGAGGCCACAAACAGGTGACAGCATTTGTACCAGAGTGGAGAAAGTACCGTCCACGTATAGAGAACTCCATCAGTGACCAGAACCTTCTGACAGAGCTTAAAGAGGAGGGCTACCTCGTCTTCACTCCGTCACGCAGGGTTAATGGCAAACTGATCAGTGCTTACGATGACAGGTGAGTCCTACATGGTCAGATGTACTTATCCTACATGGTCAGGTGTACTTTGTAGAGCTGTTATAATGAATACACACAAAATGATATTGTGAATTAACCATTCAGGGCAGGTGTATAGCATACCAGACACTATAAATAGTTCTTTTGTTGAGTAATAACCATACACCAACGGAACACTGACATCCGTCGGTGAGACGAAGTCCGTATGGGTGGAGTCATGTAGGCGATAAACCTTCAACTAACTAACTAACTAGTACTTAGCATCACAGGTATTTTTCTATCGTTTTCATTTTTATTAGTATATATCCTTTAAATCATCACAAAATATTTTACATTTGACTCTGCTTACATCATCTGAATTAAGATTGGAAAAAGTTACATTCCAGTTTTAACATATGTCACCCTGGTAAAATACTAGCAGCTTACTACCAATTCGACTAGGTAGGATTTTTCTTCAGCTCATCAGTTGATCACAATACTTGTAAACCAGGGGTCACAGGTTCAACTCTTAGCAGAGGCATCGTAAAAATAATGACCTGTCACACATACATATGAAAAAATATATAAACAAAAATGGGAAGAGGCCAGTCCATGTATTGACTTGATATTGTTGTATGTTGTAGGTTTGTGCTGGAGTTAGCGGAGCGAGAGGAGGGTGTGGTTGTTTCTAATGACCAGTACCGAGACCTGATGCAGGAGAAGGCAAGCTGGAGGGTGTTAGTGGAGGAAAGGTGAGATAACTGATAACTCATGGGACTTCTTTTCGTGTCATTTTTCAGGTATTTTGACTATCCCTAATAGTAAACAAGTTCTTGTTGCTGGTGCATTTGTATTTAGGTTTGATGAAGAAATTAATGTCTTTTCAAATTAAAATATTTTGATGAAAAAAGCGTTCCCGTCTGTAAGGTCTCTATAATTTTGTAATCATGGTCTTTTTTTGTTGTACATTAACCCATGTTTTTGACTCTAGGTTACTGATGTTCACATTTGCCGGAGACAACTTCATGATCCCAGAGGATCCCCTTGGTCAGGACGGTCCCACTCTGGACCAACTTTTACACAAGATACCACCTCATGCTGGACCACACAAAAGGTGGGAGAGGCCACCTGGCCCCATAAAACTATTCTCATGCTTACAGAAATGTTAAAGCCGGTTGAAAATTTTGAAAATTGCATGCCGACTTAAACTTGGTATAGTTTTACTAGAGCACAGAACCTGAATTGAACATGAATATAATTTGTTTAATGCTGCACCTGGTGTAAGTCTAAAGCTGAACTTGTTGTTCACAGAGTTTGTATCTAACACTCATCGGATTAAATCTGAACTTGTTGTTCACAGAGTTTGTATCTAACACTCATCGGATTAAAGCTGAACTTGTTGTTCACAGAGTTTGTATCTAACACTCATTGGATTAAAGCTGAAAGACTTGATAGGACAGCAACAACTGACATCTTGTGTAATGTGTGTTCAGACAATTATGATGGCTAGTGTATGAAAGATAGGTTTTCACAACACACATAATCAATACATGCATTAACCACAGAGTAAACATACAGTGGGTATGAAAAGGAAGCTTTTACATTTTTGGGTGCAAATGGTATTTTAGGTTTAAAATCAAACTTAACAAACTTTTTATATAACTTAACAAACCATTTTGTTGATCAGATCATTTTTTAATTATTTTTCAGACCATTGTCACCTGACAAATCGGAGAGAGGAAACATGCGACAACAACAAAATAACTGGACAAAAATGCCTCCTTTAACTTTAAATGTGGGTAATGCTAGATTCCCCTACCACAACCCCCAGCAAAGAGGTTTGAACCCAAATCTAGCTTATCAAAGACCTCCTCCTCAACAGTTCACTGGAAACCAAAACAATTTACAGGGCCGCCAAAATCAGGCGGATGGTGCTGCAGTGTTCCGCGGGGCTCACAGGGGGCGAGGACAGCGTTATCCCCACCCTCAGCCCAACAAGTTCACAGCACTCTCCACCCGGTCTAACCAGTCTACTGAAGAACTCTTCAAACAACTTAAGGGTATTTTCTCGGAGAGTGACCAGGAACAAAAGTTACGGGAAGTTCTTCAGAATCATCAGGAGGAAACAGACTTGAACCGACTCACAAACTACTGCATGAATGCAATATTTCCCTAGACAATGTACAGTGAATATTCTCCTGTGACTGTTCCACACCGTTGTGGACATTCACCTATCAGAGCTCCACAATGAATATCTGATATTCCTGTGACTAGTCGATACACATGATTAAGATACACATGATTAAGATTTCTTTAAATAGAAAGTATTAAAATATGGAAGAAAAGTCTGTGATTAAATCATGAACTTTTGTTTCAAATTTTGTGTTTAAGATATTTTATGGTTGTGGCAATACAGGATGGGATGACTTACCAAAATGTGATATACATTCACAGATACTAGCAGTTGTGTATAAAACAGCTTATTGGTAGCTAGTGAAAAGACACTGAAATATTTCAAAGTTTGTGATGAGCTGTATGTACGCTGTGTATAACATCAGGATGTAAGCTTTCGGAGGAAATCATCAATTATAAATTGAGCTGATATATATAGGCTTAAAAATAGCATGTGTACCGCACATGTTTGTTTATCAGGGAAGAAATGTTACTTTTATACTTTATCAGTTGAAGTCATCAACATAAGTCAAGACCAGATTACCGTTGAACAAGAAATACATCGTACAGATTTGTTTCTGCTGAGTTGATGAATAGCTGGATAACAATTTTTTACCAAAGTTTTCTAATTATATTGTTAAAGAAAATAATTAAAAAGGCTGAATTTCAATGTTTTATAGAAGGTCATTGAGATCTATATTCCATTACGTCACCATGGATGTGTTGGCAGTATTAAATGTATACACTGTAGTACCCAAATATTGTTTATATAATATATTCAGCATTCCAAAACATTTGTAAATTGTATGAATATTTCAAGTAAAACAATTACCTGTGCTAGATATGATATAACGTGTTCTTTTTACATAAGTGTAAACACACCACTGTAACTAGGTATTCACTGGCATATACAGCAGATGTATTT